ATAGTTCTTGTATGAAAGCTGTATACTTCAATAAGTGCTTACTTAGCTTATAAATGCGTGTAGGTAATCTTAACTACGTAAAACCTTATTGTAAATGAGTCTATCTTAATATATTCAGATTGGACGTCCATCGCTCGTAATCGATCGCGCTGCCGTGCGAACTAGCCTTTATAACCAGCGACAACCTCGTCATTTTTGTCGCAAAAAGATTTTACTTAGAATTATTACTGGCATTGTTTTTTCCTTAATGTTGAAGTTTTATGGGGAGGAAACAATGGAGGCATACGCATAAATTTAGAAAGATGTGGTTGTGCACGTGTGTAGGCATTAAACTTAGATATAAGGGTAATAATAAGTATGTTGGTATGGGAAATAAAATGAATTTCCCAGACATAGGCACCTACCTATTTTATACAAATAAAATACCTAATTAAAAAATAGCTATGTGTTTTACATCAAACTATAATCATTTTGTTGTTTTTTTATACTGAACAAAATTCTGACTAGCCGTAAGTAATAGGGCCCTATCTGAAGCCAGACACAATAAATCGCGGCTGGGCGCCATCTATCGGCTCTACATTTTAATTACTTGCAATAGTATCCGTCACGCGAGACGCATGCGCACTGCCATTACGCGTTTGACGTTTATGAGCGTCAGCCTGCGCTAAGGTGATAATGCGTAAATAAGCGGAAGGAAGTAATTAGTTTTACGATTACAGTGCAGAAAGTAACTCAGGCTTAACAGAACTGTTGTGTCTTTATGCATTAGGAAACTCAAATATAAATCGGATCAAAAAGACTGTTTATAAGAGATTCTAAATTTTGAAAACAAGCTCCTAAAAGTGTGCATACCATTTCTAATTCTGTACTAATTATTGATTGCATTGAAGACAAGTGCATCACACATATGTGTTCCTTAGAAAATGTAGCGTAAAGCGCTAAAATTCGGCAACAACAGGATTACGGGAAAAACAGACACAATATTAAAATCAAGGACAAAACCTAGCATCTAATAAGTAAGATGAGAGAAAGGAGCTAAGAGAAAGAGTATCCCGTAGTACCTATATATGTTTATGACGCCATATATAGTATATCTGTTAAGTGAACCGCTTAATGTCTATATCAGGCACTATGTGTTACATACATTGATTATGAACAGTTTTGCCGCGTTACGGCGCGATGCGAGAATTACACGGCTCACTATGTTATTTATGCCCACGCTTCATAATCATGGCGGATTACCTAGTAATACGGGATCGGTATTACCATCATTGGTTAGATACTTATACGATCTGATGACCTCTACGTTATTGGGTCAGGTAGACGGTTATGGTTTGAAGATTTGCTGATGTATGGGTGTGCACTGTCTCGTTACTAAAGTTAAGAAACAATGGTACAATGAATTTATTTTCGTAAATAGGTCATGAAATAGCACTAAGCCACGTCCACGTTACATAAATAAATTTCGATGACGTCTGCATATCCTATCTGACTATTCTGAAAAGAAATGTCGAAATAAACTTAAGGATCAGTCTCTTTTTTACTCCGGACAGAAGTAAAATTAATCTGGACGATCCCAAAAAAAATTTTTGAATAAGAAACTGTGAACAACGTGGGTGACGTTCTAGTCAGAAAATGATACGAATTTTCAAAATTTCTTCAGTTTTTTTTCTGCAGAAATTCTCTCTCTCTCTCTTTCGCTCAAAGGCTAAATTCTCTACAGATAAGTGAAATAAAATCCGCAGCCAATTTCATCCAAATATGTCACAAGTGCAATTAAGAACGAATATAAATAATCAATTACTTAATAAGTAAATAAACATTAACAGTTATACGTTGGACAGTTAAGCAAACACCAGTCAGATCACGTTTTGTAAGTGGTCCAACGCTCGGATGCGCAAACGCAATGGATCAGAGCCAAATAGAGCACTGGGTTACCGGTAGCTGGCTCACTTTGACAGACATAAATAGACATAGCTACTGAGAGGAATTTCTTAATGGATCCCTTGGCTTTTCATTTTAGGAGTCCACACAACCTTCTGACATCTATCTGTATTCTATAAAGAACTAGCCATTCCAGCAAATTTTCAGTCGCTGTTCGAATGCTATCGTAGCGTAATGTAAAACCAAGCCTTCCTCGATAAATTGACTATTAAACACAAAAGTATTTATTCAATTCGAAAGCAGTAGTTCCGGAGATTGACGCGTTGAAACGAACAAATAAACTCTTCAGTTTTATAATATTAACTTATAATAGATTGAAAGTTTTATATTAACTGATTTATTATTACTTGATTTATAAACAGACGTATGGTTGTCAACGAAAACGTCCATAAGTTGGTCAATTATACCTCTATATGTTACACAAATATTCTTGTTGAAGCATACTAAGACACCAACAGACCGTACCGTCTGTGACGGTTTGTTATAAAACCAAAAGTAATTTAATTCAAGTGTGGAACAGCAAAGCATCGGCTCGATCGGAGTGATACCACGACCTCACAGAAAACCGGCGTGATAAAACCACAGCGTTATGTTTCGCCGTGTGCTTGAGGTTGGCCGGAGGTCCAATCGTTCTCCTCCTCAATCCCTAACGGCCTAAGCCTAGAAACGTAACTCCTCGGGTGTCCATAAGCGGCGCTGATTGCTTACATCATCATAATCCAGCCCGTTTGCTGAGCTATCATATAAAAAGAGTTAGACATTTATTTAATTCAGAAGAGCAACAGCAGAATTTTTGAAACAGCAGGCTACCTTTGCAGTTGCCGTCAATAGCAATGGGAAAACTATTTGTAAATTCGAAGCTAGTTAGCATGTAGAATGTTGTATTGATGTGTGGTCGTGGCCACCACCATAAACCCACATAGGTTCGTATCTCGAACACAATGTACAAACGGTTCCCAGAGACAAACACGTTGCTAATGCAGCCGACTCCGAGCACGAGTCACTAAGTTATTCAGTTATGACAAACAGGACGTGAATGTATGGCCTCGGTAAGGTTTGGGGCCCAATGAGCTTACATTTATTTATCAACAATGTTTGACCGGCTTTATTTGTTTTATATTCGGGGTAACACGGTTCCCCGTTGCTGATTTAGAACATAGAAAAGAGCTAGGATAAAAGTACGATATAAAAAATAATACAAGATTTTATCAGTCTTCATCCCTCCATTAAAAGATCCCGCCAATATGTTAGCCTGCTGTATATACATACACATACACTTCCCCATTTATAATATTTAATTCCTCAAACGCCAAGCGAATGCCGCCGGCCTACTGATTGTTCTTCTAAATTGTGTCTCGAATTACCACGATTGAAAGGTTAATTATGAATTTTAATTAATCACCAACCAGTAACACGTCTGTTTCTTTTCTATACTAATTTTTAAGTTTGTAAATTTGTATGTAGGGCGTATTCTTGGGAACCACTGGTTGGATTCCCAAAATTCTTTCACTTATTGATAGTTACAATGTTCCCGAGTGCTATAGGCTACGAGTATAAAACATTACGCTACAAATGGAGCCGAGCAGCGAATGAAACCGCGCGAGAGTAGCTAGTATTGAATGTAGGTAAAGAGTTAAGTCCGTCACCTATAAGTTGTGTTTCGAAATTCAAATACTGTGTCAATGAATATGAAAATGCACAAGGTACCTTCAGCGATAGGATTATCTTTATCAATAGTAAAATATGCACTTGATTATTCTTTAAATTGCATAGGTGTATTAAAAAACTTATTTAAATAAAATGGCTTTAGCATAACGTGGAAATATAGTCGGTGCTATTAAATAACCTAACAAGGAACACAAAACAAATTGGATTTCCATTTATTTATCTTACAATGAAAATTGCACTCCTTATATAGATACATAAGGATTTATATTGATTGGTATTGGTTATTTAAAAGGCTTATTACTCATTATTAAAGCGTTTATTAAATTACGTGGCCTTAGAGTTTTACTTTGAAATTTTGTGTTGTGTTTTGCTCCTACGAGTGAAGTTACTGTAGTAGACCCGAACCTTACTCCACCCCCACCCGTCCGCAATGACCTAAATCTCCAAATGTCTAACCCAAAAAAAGGCGGCAACGCACTTGTAACTTCTTATATGACGCGAGTGTTTATGTGCAGCGCTGAAAACTTAACATCAAGTGACACATTTGTTAACTTATCCCACAAAAAGTCATAACTGCTATAATATTTTTATCATCCTAAACCTCTACTTGAATACAATAGTAGTTTACAACCTAAGAAACATTTATGAGAACACGAATCAATTCACGATATTCACAAATAATATAAATATTAACATAGCAATGTTTTTCATTTGTCTACGAACACAGTACAACCGTTCAATGGAAAATGTCTAACAACTTCGCGTACGAAGTAAAATTTTCTCACCTGTGCAGCAAATAGCTTTTTATTAAAGTCTCTCTCAGTGTGCACAGACCTGTAATGCCTATGCTAATTGCTTTTGAAATATCAGCCAAGAGTAAGACAAGCACACACGACCCATCTCGGCTTTATTTAACTAGAGAGGTTCCATCTAAAGTGCACAAACAATTTGAAGTCACCGCACGCTTTTGTCGCAAGAAGCAGCGGAATGTTTGTTGGCAACAGGCAACGTTATAAATGGAAAATAATCTATTTTGCCGTAAAACACTTAATAAGTCATAAGGAATTTATGTTTGGTTTTTGTTAACTTCCAAGTATCTGGTTGCGGTCTTTTTGTGTTTATTATTCCTCGCCGTAAAACGTGTGTGGAAATATACGGATAAATCTTAAGCGATTTCGCTGTTGGTACTTAGAATCACTGGACCAATGATGTTACTTCTAAACAATTGACTACATAAAGTTTTACGAAAGTAATACGAAAAACTGGTGCGATAATTGTATGATCTCTAGACTTCTAAAATTCATTAGTTTCAAGAATCAAATTTCGTAATTCTTTGAATCTAGGTTTATCCTCAGCAGAAATTAACGTTATGTTTCGTTTTGTTTCAGATCATTAGTGCTCCTGCTCACCGTGGCAGCTACCTTCGCCGCGCCGGCACCGGCTTCCACTTCAGACAACAATTTGGATAAGGCGGAACCCTCAACACATGAGCTGCTCAGTTCCCTAGGATTGAAAAAGCTGAGGATACCTGCCGCTCATCATAGGAAACGGCTCGCTGAACAAGGAAGAAGGCATGCCACTGGGGACTCGAGGATGTACGTCATCAAACTGCCTCCGAACACGAGCTACTACAGCCATGCGGAGCCAGCCCCGGCCGCCGCAAGGACCCTGCCTCTGCAAATGACTAGTAATGGCAAACCAGCTCGTGTCTACCATTGGAACATACCAGTATTACAGAAGTTTGCGAAAAACCGACCACAAGCGAGGTTTGACGATGATATAGTGGACGTCGAGAGCACGCCAACTTGGCCTAAAGCTATTACTCATCCGAACTCGCTCGACGCCTTAGCGTATTATGTGCCAGCAAAGAAAACGTCCTTCAGAAAATATTTCTCCGGCAACGGCAAACCAAAATCCTTCTACATTATCCAGAAGAATAAGAAATCTGCCGAGTATCATAAATTACTGCCTTAATCGGATTATGTGCATGATGTCGGTATATATATAAAAGTGCATACAATATTTATACAATCAATTGAGTAAGTCTCAGAGTCCATTGCTGATCCCAAATTCGAAAATAAAATTTAGGTATTTATTTCATAGTTTCTCAAATTGATACCTGGTATAATAATAAATGACGGTGTAACCAAAATTTTAATTATACGTAGGTAATTATTGCAATTATTAATTCGATTATTTAAAACTGATAGTTTTTAAGATAAAATAGAGCTAAGCTCTGCTGTTTTACTCTCGAGGCTGATTCGATTATTTGCGTCTAAATTCCGTCAATATTTGAAGTTATCATTACAGTATTGACAATATAATTTCCATATTACTCCGCTAAGATTACAACCAGTCCAAACATATTTTGTACACCTTGGTCACTCGACATAGTTGGTTGAGATGCTCAATCATCGAATGTACATTATGTGACGATACATTTAGACGACACTGCACTGTATTGGTTTCACAATACGTGCTATTATTGAGTGTCTGGAAACTGAAACCTGCTGATGATTTTTCTGGACGCAAAGCCATCTGGGAGCGCTACTATGGGTACTCACTTGTATCTCAAGTAACTCGATCATCGAATTGTTAACGTCCATACCTATTCTTGTTTTGAATCACTGTGAGATTTATAAGTGAATTAAGAATGAGTTACATGTCCATGGTAGAGCTCCCAAGTGGTGAAACAAATGATAGATAGGAGGCTATAATTATAGCAGTGCATACCCTTAACATATCCAATGTAAGAGTAGTGTTATCTTGTAAACTGCATTGTATATATGGGCCAGCTTCCGCAATCTAGTGTTAAGTAATTAATAGGTGCTTAGATATGGTATTAAGACTGCATCACGAATTTAAATTATTATCTAGATATACTTCTACTGCATTTACTTACAGCTAAGTAATAAGTCAGTAATTGTTGGTATGTTCAACGTACACATTCTAAAATAACGAATACAAAACTAATTCATAAAATAAAAATATTTAAGACAATAATGATTAAACATTAAAGTTATTTTCATTTGAGCCTTAACCACACGTTAAGTTATTTTCTCAGTGTGTATTTTGAACGGAATCAACAACAATATTAAACTGAATACTAATGTATACTTATAAGTCTCTGCATTTATAAAACTCAGACATTTATGTCCAAGTTCAGGCATTTACTCCAACACTAAAATAACTTGTATTTACGCAAATGCTAATTCTAGATTTTGCACCTAGTTCTATTGTATTGAAGACTATAATATTATTAATTCTACTAATGATGTAATGAGGCCAAGGCGAAGCCATTGCTTTAACCGTTTAGACTTTTAAGTTGTTATTTTAGATGTAAGCATAATTATTTTGTACAACATACCTAATTAATGTAAAATTAGAACAATAAAATATTTTAATAAATTATTTTGTTGAATTTCTTTATAAAATCAGAAGTAAACATATTAAAGGTCCGAGAATGATACCTTGGGGAACTCCAAAAATATTCTTAGGCGTAAAAGTAAAGATATGTGATGTGAATGTTCTGAGAATTATGTCGCATTATGTCGTCTGATACCTCCACACTTCGAGCATTGTAAAACACAATTACATAAATGACAATTCGGGCAATTAACTTCATTCCTCGTTTAACACTGAGAGTGGAGCCACATTCTCCCACATCCATATTAGTGAGACGTGCAGGTATTTTTCTCTGGACAAACATCGACTTAAACGTAGGTTTTTGCATGAAAATCTAGATTTTCTTAACGACTTTAGCTACTATTAAGGAACCTGTGTGTTTAACCAGGCTCTGATCTATCTGTATGATAATAATAGTTGTTCAATGAATCCGTTACTCTTTTTTCTAAGAAACAGTAAGTACTTTAATTATACTATTGCTCATCCTTACCTTCAAACCTTAATAGTAACTTTGAAATTCAAAGCTTTTAATATAACAAACCACAATGAGTAACCGGTACAACTTGTTTTCTTTAAAAGTTCATTAGCAAGCTAAGTAACTTGCTATTACCTACTGCAGTCATAACTTCGTAGCATATTTGCTACGGAAATAAAATAATAATAATAATTGACAGCGCCATCTAACATTCACACAGAAGACTACACAGACGTTGTACCTATGTCAAATGCATGAAATCTATGACCACACTTCACGCCGTCACGCGTTTTCCAAGTTGCCACCAGAGGTCGTTACCGTCACCCTGTTTTACCGACGAGGAATGTCACTACATGCGCGGCAGGCTGCGCGATTTATAAAAATCGTACCAAATACTATCCGACACAAATCCATACTCGCCCATTGTAAAAATGTCAGCTGCATCCGCGAGCAGCTCCGGTAGTAAAATGAAAAATGTGGAAAATGATAACAGTAGTAAAACGACAGTTGGCAGTGTAAAAAAGAAAAGTTCTAGTGATAAAAATAAAAAGAGCGAGTCTAATGCAAACAGTACAATTATTAAAGTAAAAAGTGTGATTCCTAAACGACGGTAAGCTATTATTTATTTATTGGCTTAGCTGTGAAATAAGCTTTAGTTCACCTGGCATAGTGACCTATTTACTAGACTTATTTAATTTTCATAACAGAAATGTTAGGTTTGTAAGTATATTTGTGTTACTACAACCTTAATGAGGAACATGCAACCGCAGATGTGTTCCAGATTTCTGGATATAATTAACAAGCGCGCTAAAAATATCCGGGAATACAAATAGAGCATTGCATTGTAGGTATGGTATTAGACCGATAGTTTTGTTATTTATTTTCCCGCCAATTTTTTATTTTCTTGAAAGTTTTCTGGCAAATTAAACACGCCGCTGAACTTTGCCGACATACAAGAAGTTCAACGAATTTTATCATAGAGATAAGGATTAGAATTTAGCAAATAAAATATTGGATTGATAAATATTTTGATAAGGAAGTGTTTACTGTGAATTAGTTTCCGTTTACAAGGTGCGTTTCCAGAATTAGGTGATGATGCGGAAGGTTCCGAACACGTTTATGATATAGGATGTTATTGTAGCGACCTTTTTCGACTATGTTAACTAGACATTTTGTAGGATTGTGTAGGAATTTTAGGTGAAAACAATAAAACATTTTTTTTTATATAATAAAATTAGTTAATGAAATAAATCTACTAAGGTTTTATTAATAAAGCGTTAAATAATTATTAATTATAAAAATAAATATTAATTGTTCTATTAGCGTTCAATATTTTTGGGACATATATTTTCGCTCCATGGATTTGGAAACATTGTAGATAAGTGACAGAATATTCAATTAAAATGTAGTTTACGCATTTGTCCTAATCGCCGTGGGCCGGGTAGACTCGCGTATGCGTGTATGGTTAGTGTAACGAGTTCAACTGCCGTAAAAGTAATATGCTTTATGTTAAATACGAAGTATATAGTTACTACACACAAAATCTATAGTCCAATATTGTCTGCGCGTTTGCCTGCTATTCCATAACAAAACTTGCGGTTATAATTCATATCGTGTTGTTAAAATATATTAAAGTCGTTTAAACGCATAAGCGAAATTAACAGTTTTTTCTTTAGAAAATAAAATTAATTTTAAGCTTAAAAAAATCTTTTGCATTTCTACGACCAAAAATGTTTAAAGGTGTGCATTTAGGTTATCTGACAACAACAAGAAAGCCGCAGTTGACGGTTGCAGCGGTTGGATGACCGATTATCTCGGAATCCATGTCGGTATTATATGTTATTCTAGATCTGAATCAGACATGTGATTGTGTGTCTAATTTAATTATTCTGTAGATTCATAGCTATAACGTAACCACCCGGTAGCGGGTGTAAGCGGCATAATTTTCTCGGCCTGAAGCAGGAGAAGGAACGGAGGGGTTTTTATTTAGTAAGCGTAATAAATTACTGTGGCCTAGACCCGAAGCGAAGAAGAGAAATAAGTAGGTGGCTATTAAGCCAGTAAGAATCTCACAATCCCTCCATCCGGGAAACTCAATTTTAGATTTCGACCTCTCAAAAAAGGGTAAAGTGTACGCATTCGATGTGGACGCACCATTACCATAATATATCACCCAGTTGAGCCAACGGAGACGAGTTGACAACTACGACAATACAAGTAGAATGCCTATTCACAACAGTACTATTGAAGTAGACCTACCTACCTAAAGGTACTTATCGCACAATATGTTAGTTCAATATCTTATCCTTGAGTTTCCATTTGCAAATGTTGTGTATTAACTGTTAAGTAACATTAACTAATCTGTTAACACTTTTACAATAATTAATTTTATAAAATTAAAACAAAAAATAATTGTTTAAAATTTCGGCAAGCATTTTTTAAATATAATCAAAATGCCGTGTCATGTCTTGCTTATTTAATTGTTGTAACCCTATTAAAATTTAAAACTACTTTATTTATTTTTTTAATATATTCTTATTAACATAGACTAGTTGAATATTGAGTATAATTACTGGGAAGATACGAGTACCTACAACAAATGCATATAAAAAAGAATTTATTGGAATTTTATTGGTATATATTTATATAAATTATTCACGATTTATTGGTATCATGTTTCTTTTACAAGAAACCTTATTTTAAGCTGATACTTAACATCGTATTACTCTTCTAACAAATAACTGAAAAGGTACTCGTTTTATATCATTTTAGATATAGATAATTTAATAATAATATATTTGGACGAGGACAATGGACAATTGTAGTTACGTAAACAAATAGTTTTGTTAATTTCATCACAAAACACGCTAAAAGAGGATTATTTAATAATGTTTAAATTTACAATCGAAACCAATGTACGAACATTACAATCTATGTTGTCTATTATTAAGATTGATTATTACATCATAAGTAAGACGCCTTTACAGGCTCCATGACAGAAGCTGCCTTGGCCGAATAATTTGGCAATCAAAATTTAAAACCAAAACCGTCGTAGTCCATGGCTAACAGGTTTTCTAAACAGTATTTGTTGTTATTGGAATCGCAACTCTTTCATTTAGATTTTTTATACAAGTTTTTTTTCAACTCGTAAACAAATGGCAAAAATTTAATAAAAAAATGCCTAATTTTTGACTAAACTAAACTCCTGTAATAGTAGTGTAGTTTTTTGTTTTTATTATAAATCAATATATTTTTATATAAGCCAATATATATCTATCTGAAATGCAATAATTTTGGTTTAATTTCGTAACTTATTCGATTTATAATAATAGATTCATAAAGAAATAGAAGAATAAAGATATACGTTTAAATTGTAAGAAATCTTGTGAAAATCTGCGCTAGCTAATATCATAAGCTGCGACTAGGAATCAAGGCATAGAATGAAAGCATAAAAAATCTCCAAGCCGCCTGCAAAATGTGAGAATTCCGGCTGATAATCATGATTACAATACAGGATTTTAATTTATATTTACTTACGCAAAAAAGTTAGTTAGAAATTTACAAGTTCACAATAAAAACCTGTAAGTAATAAAAATAAATAAGTTGTTATAATAAAAATATACGTGAAGAACGTTATAATTGAATGACAGTCACTCATGCAATATTTATGTTAACACTATTTACCATATCAGTATGATTCCCCTTCCGTGATCTGTTGGAAGTTAGTAAGCTTTTCCCTTACCAATCTTTCAAGCTAACTTCAGCTTTACTTAGAATAAATCCTCATTCCAACATTTATATGTAAAATGCTAACAAATGAATAGTTTCTGCAAGCGGCTTCGCCCGCAGCCCGCAGTACCAGAATAAAAGTAGCCTATGTCAGATTATAATCTATCTCTGTGACAAATATCATTCAGATCCGTACAGTAGTTTTTACGTTAAAGAGTAACAAACGTCCATCCATAGATACTTACAAACGTTCTCGTTTATAAGTATCATTATAAATTAGGATAATGCACTTTGTTGTCGATATTTCGTCTTATAGGTATGTCGTGGTTTAATGAGAAACCATTATTTATAATATTCAATGTGTATTTTAGGTAACCAGACCTATTTTTATCATATGTATGTATTGTGTAAAAAACATACAAAAGATAAATTTAAATGATTTATAAATCATATAAATTAGTAACGATGCTTTTTATACACAGTATATAAACTTAGTTTATACCTCATATACATAAAATTCATTATTACTATAGATACGGATTTAAATAATGTTTTTTGTATAAATGAATATGTAGGTACACACAGTAATAGTTGAAAGAAATATTGCAATGCATATTTATTCCTGGAATTGTTACAAGCTTTTCACATCGGCTATTATGAATTAATTTAATCAAATGTGTCAAACAATATCGGAATACAAATAAAAGCTATGTTAACACTAAAAGATACAATAATGCGGAAAAAGTCTATATCCACATCTATATTTTGTGGGGCCATCCAAAAATACATGTGGGGAACTATAATTGGACCTATTTAATTGCTCATATCAATTATATCTTCAATTTTAATTTGTGTCAATTATTTTATTGATTCAAATGCTTACATTTGCTCTGGCTTACCGTCGTACTGAGACAACTTATGTAACGTCTGTTTTCTCCCAGGAAAGGTGGGCAGGAACTTCATATAAGTATGATATGTATGTACTTATCATAGTCCTACAACGTATCATTAACAAATTAGTGTGTATTTTTATATCTAACTAGCTTTTACCTGCGGCTTTGTTCCCGTTATTTAACTACCTACACTATCTACTGTACTTTACCTATCCTGTTACTATTACTACCGTACCTACCCTACCCTATCTGCCCTACACTACCTACCTTATTCTATGTTCTTCTTCTGGTTCCAATCTACATCCCTACCAATTCTCCGTTCAGCAGAATTCGGTTCAGCGTTCGATCTTGACTTATAAATAGTCTAACTAACACGACTTTCTTTTATACACTTAAATAGATATGAGTAGGTTTTAAAGGTGATCCTTCATAGACTATTTCCTTGACATATGCTCATCGTTACGGCTTGGTAAATTAGTAATCAATAAAGTTGCAATGACTAGAACTTTTATGGTTATGTGGTTTTGATTATACTTTTTTTTATATTTTATGGCACATTTATAGATACAGGGTTATAAAGGTTTTTTTTTTAATATGGAACACAAGGCGGCAAACGAGCTGATTTATCGATCGATAATAAGCAGTGAAGGTAACAACCGCTACACGTAGGAGTAAGAAGTGCTTTACCAGCCAATTTTTTTGGGTTAGTGATTTGGAGGTTAGGCGATTGTGGATGAAGGGACGATAGGGCCTCCGGTTATCTCACTGTCAAGGCGGAATGTAACGCACAAGTGGTTTCTACGCCGGTTTTCTGTGATGCCGTGGTCGGGCCGGCTCATTTGTGCCAAAAAATAGCTTTACCACACTGATTATTTATTATTCTGCTGCTTGTTAAGTAGTGGTAAGTTCATGGTCAGGTACAATGTCAATCTTTTAATTATCTTGTTGAATGCTCTAGATTAACCTACAGTTCGCCAAAATTTTAAACGGAATTATAAATGTATGTATATGCTTGAACTAAAGCTATATAAAGATGTTGTGTTGATTGATCTAATCATTAGGCATTCTTATTTTGAATTTTTCACTTAATATGTAGCCGTCAGTTTTTTTTTTATCTTTGAAGGAGGTACTACACATTATAAATTAGTTTATACCCAGTTTTTGCCAGTTATTTAATGTGTCCCATGTAATCACAAGTGCCGCTGGAGCCATATCTATGTACCTGGCACTTCTATACTGGCGTTTTTCGCATCGTTAAAACTATTTCAGCCTGATTTCATTTTTTATGATATTTTACCTTTACGTTAATCTTATGCATCAGTCTAATTTTGTTCAGCCACCAGGTGCCTAAATAACGATTTTAAAAACATAACACATGGTGATAAGGTGCGATAAGATTACAAATCGACCTATATTGTAAATGTATGTTTTATCGTTAGCCGTATTATTATAGCATAATTTATAAGATAATATAGCGAACTAAACTTTTAAATTATGCCTTTTTTAAATAAACATGTAGCAACAATGACGCGTAGGTACATACAATATGTACATATATAATTTTAGTGTTTTACTAGTCGAAACGGTGAGCACCGCTTCGCTTCTAAATAAATATTAATTATTTCAAAGTTGCTTTCATCATTGCTGAAGACTGCACGGTTAGCCCGGTGGCTGGGCAACTGGCTGCTGTGCAATGTGTCGCGGGTTCGATTCCCGCACGGAACAACACTTTGGGTGGTCCACAAAATGTTGTATCTGGCTTGTGTAATTTGTATGTTTGTAAACGCACCTACAACACAGGAGAAAATCCTAGTTCGTTCGTTTTTTTACTTACACATTTTGTTGCAATTTAGAAGGTAATAAATATAAGTGGCTGTGTGTTATTCCACGCTATCTCTGTGCATAGCTTCATTCAGATTTGCTCAGTAGTTTTTACGTATTTTACGCGAATTAGTGACAAAAGTTTGTCTATCTATCCATTTACATTTAAAACTTAACATTTATAACATTAGTAAATTAATTATTTTTAATTCCATTATATCTACATATTTAAATAATGTTTTAAATTGTGTATTCACACTAACAATGTGTACAGATACTTTGTTTTTAATGTTTCTAATAGAATGTCTAACTATGGTTTAACTATATTTTTTTTACGGTTGGCACGAGTGAGTCAGATAATTTGGTCCTTATACCTATGCAAAAACAAAGATTTGTGCTCCAGAGTATAATGTAGATTGATCCTTTTAATATTTGTACACTTTTTTGAGGTGAATAAATCGTGAATTAAGTTTTCTCGCCATGAGCTTGTTGAGATGAAGTGTCATATCAAATCAACCCTGTTCCTTCTCCTTCTCCGAGCTGAAGCCATGATATACGTTCAATTAGGCTTGTACCCGCAAACACGGTAATAAGGCGCACACTGGCGCGCTTACTTCATACTAATAAGAACGAATAAATAGACCACAATAATTATACTATCAATTAAACAAAAACAGTACTATCAATAAAAAAAAACACATTGAAACATTTAAGCAAATTTTGCTAACAAGAAAATGATAATGACAGTTATTTAAATAATACCTGTAGAACATTGTCCGTAATTTATTTTAATTACGATTACTTTATTTATTAATATTAAATGTAATGTTTTCTAACATATTATTATTCACCTTTTATTGACCTTTTGTAACTGTATAATATTATTTTCACGTGTTATTGTTTTTATAAATGTTGTTGCGTTTGCGTGTATTAACATTTTTACTACCATTAGTAAGTTATTTGCAAACATCACGTGGTATCCGAGTTATTAATCACCTTTCCCAGACCGGGAGAGTCCACTAACTATAGTGGACTCTCCCAGTGGGGTCTATGGGTTTCTTCCACATAAGAGAGCTATAATCACCATGCATAAATGACTAAGGCATCGCAGTTCAAAAGGTTCAGGTTTAGGGAGCGCTTCTACTCGGTCGATCTTTGTCAAGCATGCACTTCCTTAGTAGCGGGGCTTGGAACAGGAGAAGGAAAAGGGGTGGTTTTTAGACAGTAAGAGTCTGACACTCCCTTCCTCGCCTCGCCCCAGTCGGGAGAGGTCATTGGATGATAATCACCCCTCAATTAAACGGTTAAAATCGATTCTGCTCTTTCGTCGCTTACTGTTATTATCATATCGTATTGTATCATTTATATACCAAAATCATTTTAGTAATTTATCGAATAGATTGCCCTTTTCTTAGGAAGTTCAAACTACTACAAAATTAATTAATTAGTTATGCAACGTGTCTTATTTATCATTTATTTTTTCGAGTGCATCGCACATGTAACCAAGAATAAAATACGAAATTTCAGCTGCAGATAAGCTGAACAGTCACCCCAATATTGCAACGACTACGTACTTACGTAGGCATACGCTACGAAAGCGTAGCGACGTTTGGGGTGGCTCGTAGCTGTTCCGTAGTATACGCAGCGATGCAGTGAAAACTTTTATTCGTGTAACTATTATTCTTGTTTTATAAAAAAAAAAAATATGTATATTTTATATTTGTTCTCTTTTCAGACAAGATCTGCTGAAATGGTACGGATGGGGCTACAAGGATTCCATGTTCAAACTGGACGGAAACACAGCCACTTTTACTGGGAACAGGTTAGTTTTGTTGTTTATATATCAATAAAGATAACGATTTCTAAAAAAAAAAATACAAATTATGCAGATGTTTTAGATTGAGAAACTTTGTATAGATTAAGTGAAATGTTATTAATTAAAAGAACAAAAATAAACATAAGTTTTATGTAATTTTAAATAGTGCAATTTATCATATAAACAGATTAATAACTTAGCACTAAGTTTGAACTTAGTTAACGAGTTATATTTTGTGTTTGACCTCTAAATTATATTAGATATAAATAAAAATGGCGATGTTTTTATTAAACTCTTCATTAATGATTTTGCAACAAAACCTTGACTTGTTATTCATTCTCGATGCACCATTTAAATGCAAAGTATTGTATTTGAACGAGGATAATATTGACAGTTTTAAAGAGTGTTGACCTCTCTGATTATTATGCTAGGCTTCTTCTCAGATAAGGTGCCTTGCTTAAAGCACTTATTCAACAAAAAGAAAATACCTATATGGTTGACAAATGAAAGTGAAAGGAGTTTGTGATTAAATGTTCTTCTGACAAGTTTACGCCCGCGGTTTTCAAAGCATTAAAAGTTATGTATCCCAAGATTAAAAAAAACAGCGTTTAAAGCGGTAGCTCGACGTAAAATACGCAAATCAAGTATAATTTATTATAGCCTTCAGCACTTCAGCCTTTAGGAATATTGTAGTTATCTATCAGTGAAAGAATTACCCAGTATATACAAACTTTCTTTTTATGTGATAATGTCAGCAAACGAGCGGACAGATTACCTGATGATAAGCAATCAGCACCGCCCATGGATGCCACCTGCAACAACAGAGGAGTTAAAAGTGCGTTGGCAATCTTTTAGAATTTAGAGATTGGGTAGGGATTGGGGGAGGGGAAAGATTGGGCCTCCGGTAACCTCATTTACACGGCAAAACACAACGCTGTGGCGGTTTTACGCAGGTTTTCTGTGAAACCGTGATATCACCCCGGTCGAGCCGACCCATTCGTACCGAAGCATGGGTCTTTCACACTTACACATTACAAATTTTACCTCTTTTCGAACGTGGATAATGTCGACAGTAGTTTTGAAGAGTGTTGTTCTCTGCGATTATAATGCTGCTTCTTAGATAAGATGGGATTATTTTATTTAGTCATATATTTCATTTTTCTGCTGTAAATAATGGGTAGGAAGAAAATCCAAAATGTAAATATGTTATTTTTATTATGTACTCGAGAAATTTAAAATAAACTTAGTACATTTCGCGATCAATAACTTCTTATTCAAATGCAAACATACGAAGCTTAAATTTTTTTCCCCCAGTTTCTTATATCATTTTGCAATTTATTTTTGCAAAACAGTATAATTTACACATATTCTAACTTTTATAGGTGTGGCAATTTGCTATGGTGCCGCTCGCGAGAACCGTCCACATATACGTATTACATTATATTTTATGTGATAAGTCGGAAAACGAGCAGACGCAATAACTGATGGTAAGCAATCGGCACCGTCCATATACTCCCGATGATGACGACAACTCAGGATGATTAGGATTCTAGAGATTTAGGAAAGATGGGGGGAGAACCTCACACACACGGCAAAACTCAACTCTGTGTTTATTTCACAGCAGTTTTCTGGGAGGCCATAGTATTATCCGATCGACCGATCTAGGCGTACCTGTACCAGACAGCCGATCTCTGGCCACCGCGGGTCTGCGGACGGGTTGCTCGCCGCCCGACCAGATCCAGACCCGAGCAGACGGCGACTAGCGCGCCTCACAGAGCTAAGGGACTGCTACACTCTACTGGAATATCAGCCCTATAGGACCACCACAGACGGGGCCTTATAGGGCTGATGTTCAGCCGGGGTTGAAAGAAGAAGAAAGAAAGAAAGAAGAAAGAGCAGGAGAAGGAAGGGGGTGTTTTTAGTCAGTAAAAGTGTGACACTCTTTCTCGCCTTACCCTGGGCGGGAGATAAAATTTGATGATTTTCCCCTACCAAAAAAAACGGCGTACCTGTGCCAACAATTAATTAATCATAATGAACAAACCACAGTGTTCTTCTACTTGACTACGGACCTTCTCTACATAGAGTAAGAATTTACTATAAGAAGGCCTAGAGATCTCCATTTCAAAGATTTAGGTTTATCAGTAACCGCCAACCTATGTAGTACATGTATTATTGTCATAAAAATAAGTATCACATCATAATATGCCTATGTTTTAGGTTTTTAATCACTATGGTAACAATTAATCTTATAGTTATTTTATTTTATACCTACACATAAATATAATTATCGTTAAAATAATTACACCTCATTCTAAGTCGCTAGCAAAAGCAAATGTAGGTTTTTGTTCAAACTGTTTTGACAATGCCGTGTCATTTCAAAGACGAAAATGCATTGCATAAAATTAAACATTGCATTCTGTGTTCACACTCCTTTTTTTCTTTTTAAACTTCCTCCTGTGTGCGTTTACAATCATAAAAATTCACATACATACATCGCATCCAGAACAACAATCTGTGGATGACACATCACACACAATCGAAGATACCCAGTCGATAAGTAATTTATTTTATATTCATTTAATAAATGGGAAACTGCAGAAATCATTGACATTCATAAATAGTCATGATGAAACATAATTATAGGTACTTTGAGAGCTATGTCCTAAATAGACAATTCGGTGTACACGGCAGGGTCATAGTCACAAAGAAAGTGGTGTCAACGAGGTATGACTAGATCACCACAAACCAGGTTCAGTGGTGGGCGGCCAGCAAATTGCCACTTCCCGTTAATTCGCCAGAGCACGTGCCATTTGACTCGACATCTTATTCCGCGCTCAATAAGTATATTGTCAAAACTAGGTTACTTGATTAGCTGTCAATTCTAAGCATTTAGGCCGTCAAAATTGTCGGATTATGGTCGAAATTATTAACCGATCTACCTCCTAAATGTCTGGATTGATTAAAGATCGTTTTTAGATTGAGATCGGGCCAAAGACAATCATTAAGGGAACAGTTCTTATACATATAGCGAGTACCGACTATGTATAGACAATTTCAGTCACTCATAACTAAAATTGACACACACACACACAAACACACACATGTGTGTGCACGTTACGTGCGTGCTCACATACATAGATTTAGTTTACTGTTAATTAAATTGTTAATAATGTTACATTGATGTTATCAAGATAAGGGAGAGCGGCCAAATCACCTGATGTAGTTGTTGTTCATCACTGGAGAGTAAAAACAAGATGACTAAATAGGCGAAACGTTAATTTGATTCTTAAATTAATGACAACTAGAATGTTAATATACCTCCACACATAATGTAATATACAAACTTCAACTTTTCATGATTGTAACTAAAATTTAGATTTCATGAAGTAGGAACATAGTTTTTTATTCTGTACTCAAAATACAAATAAATACTTATCACTTCTCAACCTTCCTTCCAATGTAAGTGACATTGTAAAAAATAGTGCGTATAGGATGATGTAAAATAATGTGGTAAAGATAATAGCCCTACTAAATTGCACGGCATAATGTGCAATTATTGGCTTGCAGTAAAACTTTGTGTCTACCATGGATGTTCAATACAAGTTAATAATGGTTAAAGCGGCAGAGCAATCGTCGGAACGACTTGCGACTGTAAATATTGATCGTAAAACAAGTTGCAACTCAATGAATGGACTGAACCTCTATTTGTTGTGAATAGCAAACATAACTTAAGGACCACATGTACCTGTCTATACCTATACTTAGGGCGTACTAAGAGGTTTAGAATTAGAACATAGACTTTTAAAGATATTTTTTTTAAATATAGTAGCTTTTTTTTTAAATAGGTTCAATTATCGAAATAGTTTCGCCAAAGGAGTTTAATAATGTCAATAAACTTATTATAATTAATGTAGATACCTAGACGAGGATTTTCAACATTATAATTTTATATTGATAAAAGTGATAAGATAACGTTCGCACTCGTGAAGGTCGCGTTAGAATTTGATAGTCAAATTACTACCTTGATCTACTGTCGCTAACATTTTTGCTGGTTTTAAAACCGCTGCTACAAACATCGAACGTACGTATGCATATCATAAAATTATCCCATCTTCAGTCGACAAAGGAATGAAATGAATTTAAAGTTTAAAATCTAATTCAATCTAGCAATGTGACGCTAGCTGTAATTACAGCTAGCGAATTTTATACTTACAGATAATAAATTGAGTTCTCCTAAAATGGTTTTCATCTGCAGCCCATTAACAGTCTGTTTAAGTGATGTAGTATATAAATAATTAAGTTTTTATGCAGTTATTATTTTTTATCAGCCCATAAAAATATTCGCTTTTGTAGCGACGCGGCTACAAAAAGTACCAAGTTTATTTGTGGCATAGGTAATTAATTACTTACTACGAGAAAAAATTCAAAAGTTTATAAATATAAAGTTTAACAACTTCTCTACTAGCGTAGGCAAACTAGGTGTAGCGTAATTTGATGATATTTAGATTTTTTCGAAATCCGGTGCTTATCAACAATTTACTGAAAGTATCAGTATTAATATTTATATAATAGAAGCATACGGATTACCTGATGGTAAGCAACCACAAATCCAAAACAAAGAGGAGTGCTAGAATGGTACCAGTCTGTGGCCGACCTTTTGGGGATTATTAGTGTTTTGGGGTTTTACGGATTGGAGAAGACGAAGGTTTGGGCCTCCGGTAATCTCACCTACAAGGTGAAACACGAAGCTGTGGTTACTTCACGCCGGTTTCTGTGAGGCCGTGGTATCACTCCGGTCGAGCCGACCCATACATGCTGAAGCATGACTCTTCCACGCTTATTTACGTTTAGCTACTTGCTATTCAAGAACGTAGGTCGTGATGGTACTTATTTTAAGGCACCCGTATATGTTACACGGCCCTCCAACACAAACATTAACACCATTACTAATGTACACGTCAATATTCACACTGTATTTTACAATTTACTTCGCCGAAAATTAATGTTTTATGACTTTACCTCCTATGAGTGCCGTAACTACGAAGAGAAGTTGGAAATGGAAAATCTTTGTTACCTCTTTAGTGGTTGGAACGTAAGAATGTGTAAAACTCTACTAAAGTTTTCTGTTGTTAAAAATATAAAGTGATGTATAGAGATTTGGTTTTAGTTTCTTGCATACTGACATTGTTTTATCTTTTTACCCTAGTGAATATTTTAAAAGTTTTTCTATCTATTCTTACTAATATTATAAAGAGGTAAAATCGCTTGTCGCATTTCCAAAACTATTTTACTGATATATAGCTACGATGTTCCTGAGTGCCTGTAAATTATACTTGATTTGCGTATTTAAGTCAAGTATTCTGTTGTTTTTAAAGTAAAATGAAATAAACTATCCTTGTCCTATTTATCCGCTTATTTTAATTTGGCTATGGTAAGCCGTGGGCGGAAGCTAGTCAAAAGTAATACCGTAATCTTTAGTCATTTTGCAAAACCGAATGTGACAAAATTGACCAGGGTCTTTAATGTCTACAATGAAGTATCTACTCTTTCCTTGTTCCATGCTCCTTGACTACTTTATCGACCCTTGATGGTCGCGAAAGACCTTTGCCTAGCTAACACTTAATGCCTCGACAAATATTCCCTTGTTTGCTTGTTTGTCATTCACAACCGGCGACTACAAACACACACACAATGCTGTTTGATCTCCAGACTGACAATATTTGCTTTGTTTTACTCGATCTCGCATAATCTCTTACGATTAATTGCAATTAGCAAATTGTCATTATACAAGATGTGTTCATTGATAGAAAATCTAATTGTTTCATTGTTGCGAGTGCCCATTTTAATTTATTTAAGGCCTGCTTCACCACCGCCATGTATGAAAGTTCTTATTTTAAACTTGTGACACATGGTTCATACATATTTTTAATTTTTTTCCGATATAAATTGGCTATTCAGACAATGTGAAACAAACAGCTCGTTGCGTTCGTCTTTGAGGCGTCCTCAAAGATCGGCCATCAGACCATCGAAGGGCCGAAGTCCAGAGTGTAGTAGGAGGTATACGGCGGCCGCCTAGCTCAAGCAGGAGAAGGAACAGCGCGACTTTTAGTCAGTAAGAGTCTGACACTCCCTCGCCCCATCCAGGGCAGAGGGAAGTCAATTGATGATTTTTATCGCTTAAAAAAGTCACTGAAACAGACCCCTTATGAAACATTTAAGTTCAATAGGTAGTTAATTATGAAAATAGGTCACATGATACTTTTCTCAGGGAAAGTAACAGCTGTCTTAATGGAGTACATCTGAACCGAACATACAGTACTCGTCAATATTAAATTTTCCGTGAAATTTCTGACCACTATGCGTGTGTAGATACGGTTAATATTAAAACTAAATGTCGGTTCGTTATTAAAAACTGTAAACTATGAGAGTTATATTTGTGAAATAGCCATGCTTTGGCACGAATGTGTTCGACCGATGTGAAACCAGGGCCGCACACAAAAAAAAACAAAACAAAGTGAAAAACAAGGCATGCCCTTTTTTCGCTGTGTATGTGAAGTTACTGGAAACTCAATCCTTTCCCCTCTATTCCCGTAATCCTCAAAACCTAACCCAAACCAAGGCTGGTGTTGATAGCTTATCAATGCAGGAGAATCTTGGGAATCGCTGGTCACATTTCCAAAACTCTTTCACTGATATATGGCTACGATGTTTCTGAGTGCCTGTAAATTATACTTGATTTGCGTATTTAAGTCGAGTATTCTTCTGTTTTTAAAGTAAAATGAAATAAACTATCCTTGTCCTATTTATCGGCTTATTTTAATTTGGCTATGGCTATGCGAAGCTGTGGGCGGAAACTAGTCAATAGTAAGAAGATTAGGTGATCCATCTAATAGCTTTTCGAATGCAGCCAGATAAAAAATTAAACTCTTTACTTTCCACCACTGTGATAATTTACAGTATTTATGATTAGTATAGCGCACACTTTCAAATCACGAGGGTCTTTAAATTCATTGGCCCCTTGACTCTGTTGAGAAGGAACTATTTGATTTGCACTTTGTTTAAATATCGTTCTTTATAGCTTTTTATATTGACACTGCAAAAATGTCTGCCATTGACGAATAACCTTCTTTGGAGATATTTTAATTTTCTTTTCCCTGCAACTACAGTCCGTCACTAACTCTGATGAACTACTCTTATATTTACACCAAAACTTTCGTTCGTTGTTACAAGTTTATTGGACATACATCTATATTTCGATAGTTCAAGTCCAACCAGAATCGTGTACCTATTTTCATGTACATACATACTTAGTAAACGCTTAAATACTTCTAACCTTGACACTACATGTAACAGACGACAGTTATGACATCAGTACCTTTGTATCCTGAAAATTGATCAACACCCAGCACAAACATTTGATCAAATGTGTGATATGTCAATTTTATCCTCACGTGTGAACTTTGACGTAATTTATAGTCTTTACATTAGGTAATGGGTTCATGTACTTATGTACTTTGGTCGCAAGTTTAGTTACATCATTAATTGTGATTGGCGTGGTTGGTACACTAAACCCTTTAATGGTTTAATATTGAGGAATAAGCAGGCATGGAAAAGACGAGGACATATTATTCGCCAAAAAAACACAGCGGTTTGTTTTGATACAGGAATGATAGCGATAGCATAAATTAAGGAACTCCAAAAACTATCCCATTCTTTTATTTTACATTTATTCACTTTGAACATCTTTCTTTTACAGATACTCAATAGGAGGGCATACTCTACCATACCTGGCACAATGGGCAATAGAAAAATTCGGGATAGATCCATCAAGAGAGCCAAAGATTCCCGAGCTCCCTACGAAGTTTGCCGAAAGCAGACTTCCAGAATCTATTCGAGTGGAATTAGAGCAGATTGCTGAAGTGAGCGTCGATGGCATGGATAGATTAATCAGAGCTCATGGGCAGACACTGAAGGATATGGCCCAGTTGAGAACGAACAGCTTCCCGAGGATTCCTGACGCCGTTATATGGCCTGATAGTCATGAGCAGGTGAGAATGCCAAACGCTAAAAATTCACTACTAATTCACTCTTTCTTCATACACAATTTACCATTTTTCAGCATCTAACGTTACATCGAATGTAACTATTACTCTTATCTCTATATTGATAAACACGGATAAAATGAATGATCGTGTATAAAAAACCTTGTAATTCTGGAAGGACACCATTGACCTAATCATACTTATGTATGCAATATTTTAAACAAGTTCCTCCATAAATATTTTGCATAACGTCGCCAAGAGCCTTGTTTTAATCGATTCTATGGAACAGCAAAATAATTTCGTAATGGACAGCACCATTGACATATTCGCATATATTTTCTCGAACATCTCTATCAAAGTCAAGAACAAGGTGTTCGTTGAAATATAAATTCTTTTTAATTCTACATATTGACTAAAAAGGTCATGGTGATTTATAAACTCTTTATAACCGTACGGTAACTAGTTAGGTGAATTTTTAATCTCATATTATACAGGTACTGACCGTGGTTACAAACAGATAGACATAAATAATATAATAATTTATAGTTTATTTATTTATGATACGAAGCGGTTAATTGCTAACATTTAATTAACGTAATGCTGCGGATGAGGTCACATTAAAAGTAGGTCACATTTCGCTTTCCGCACATCATAAACGTGAGACAGATGGTGTTTTTTTTTTTCATGCTATGCTAGACTCAAGTACCGAAAATAGCTCGTAAACTCAATATGACTCGATGCGTAGTGCGATGTATAAGGTCTCTTTTGATGATTCTCTTTTGTCAACTGAGGGATTTTTTGTGAGGGTTTCATCCAATGATCTTTCCCGCCCTGAGTGGGATGAGAGGATCTGCATACTGTACCAACTATCGAAATCGAAAATCCCATTGAATTAAGTTGTTTACTGCGACCATATAGGATATACCCACAGCGTCATTGAGTACGACATATTTTTGGCAGTTCGACTAAACATCGTTTGGCCAGCTTTCAGTTTATTTTGTAAAATCTTCTGAAATTTAGACTTGTTATCTGTTTCATAAGTGACACCAGTTGCTAATCACGAAATATTTGACCTAGAAGTTGTTACAAATTATTTGGGTTTGGCTGCTAAGGTCACACTGATGGAACTATAACAAAATACCATGCCCTTCGCGGCTGCGTGTGATGTGCTAAGTAATTACCAATAGAATTTACGTAAGCGGTTCAATATTATACTTAATGATTAGTGTAATACCGCAAATTTATATATTTTCGGCTTCCTACGTCAATGTACTTAGGCCTAAAATAGTCATTCGCTCCGAAAATTAGCCTACCTAAAGAATTTTTTGCCGGGGTTGCGGGGCAAGCGCAATGAGGCACCGCGGCCTTGGGGTTTTTTGTTAGTAAGAGTCTTACACTCCCTCCTACCCGGGCAGGAGAAGTCATTAGATGATTTTCCCCTCACAAAAAAACCTATAGAATTTTTGCATACAAATTAATTGCTTTTCTTGGACTTTAATAATGTAGGTGCTTATTGTATTTAAATATTTAGGCCATATAGTAAGGCAGTGGTTTTTGACCAAGTGTTGCGAGTTGTTTGATCAGATTTCTGGTACTACCCTGGAACATAACTATATACCTCATTAGGTAGATTCTGAAAAGTGACCCTAGGTGCAAAGCATTCTTTAGTAGCGGGTGCAGATGCCCAAATGAGATGGAGAAGTAACTAGGTGGTGCTTTTTTGTCTCTTTCTTACCTCACATACAATAAACACATACATTCATATATTTACTCACATTTTTATGCTACTTTCCAGGTTGAGCAAATAGTGTCATGTGCGTCCCGTCACAACTTCGTGATCATTCCGTTCGGTGGTGGAACCTCGGTATCAGGCGCCGTCACCTGTCCCGCCAAGGAGACCAGACCAATCGTGGTACTGGACACTAGCGACCTTAACTCCATCTTGTGGCTCGATAAGGAACAACTGCTGGCTAGAGTACAGGTAAGAGGATTTTTTATTAATTTGTAGGTACACAAATCCTAGTGCCTCTTCCCACTGGTAGTTGATTAAGGAAGAACACATTTGAAAGTGACTAATATAGATGGTTGGCAGTCAACAACTGTGCGATTTTCTGCCTCGCATAGTAAAACTTAGGAATGCTATTTCGGCGACGCTATTTCCGAACCGATATGACCGTCAAACTTTCAAGGAACGAGCGTACCTAATCCTTTTTATAAGAAACGAACGCGTCTGTTACTCCTCTGGTGTTGCAGGTGTCCACGGGAAGGACTGATCACTTAACATCAGGTGATCCGTCTGCTCGTTTGCCTCCTAATACATAAAATAGCTACATTTGCTACTATTAACCTGAACCTTAGGGACTACCTACTACGCCTGGCAACCGTGGTGAGGTTATGGCTTTTGGCAAACTCTCATAAAGAGGAGACTTATACCTAACTTACTACACACAGTCATGGGATGTTCAAAGTTTTTTACTAGTTCTGTCTTGATCTAAGATTGACACGCATCTATATAAAGTAAGCACAAATACTTAACACCATACGCCTAAAAATTATCAAGTATTTGAAGAAAAAATATTCTTGATGTCTACATGTATCCTTGACAATGTTTAGCATTAGCACCTATGCTCCAAAACCATTATAGTATTTGATTAGCAGACACACAATAACCGAGCCTATAACTTTTTTATTAGTGATGATTCAGTTTATTTGAAGATTACGAGTAGGTACCTATATGTACACGGTAACATTCAGAATAAATGATCATGTACGCAGTTGTTTCTGCCTTCCTGAGGAATTTTACCAAAAATGTTGATAGAATCATACATTTCCCTAGCCCTCATCAGCACTATATTCTTAATCTCGACCATGATTTTCAATATTGGGTTACGTAATTTTTTTTTATTATTATTATGTATGTCTTTACCAAACACGGGACCACAGGGTCCCGGTCATTTGGAAGGCGTACGAGGGGCCGGAGCCAACTGCGCAGAGGCCCTTTAGACAACTTTAATCTAATTGAAATGGGACACAAACCGGCGACTATCCCTGTATGCACTATGGAAATACACCCAAGGACAGTCCCCGGTTAGTGTAGGACTATTGCGGATAATGGAAACAAGGGATAAGGCTATGGGCGTGGGTTGTTATGGACTGGTATGATGGGAACTATGGGAGGACTATGGCACCTGCCGAAACAATGTAATGAATACATGTAAAAATGGCAGGTGGAGACTCGCCAACTCACCGACCGGGCCCCCGGGAATGGTTACTAGTAATAGCAACAGAGGGACAACGGAAATGTGAGTGGCTGAAGGGTGAAGAAACTGCCACCAGCTTTCTACTCAGATCATCTGCATCTGCCTAAGCATCCTGCATCACTGGCCCACTCGCCGCTTACGAACAGCTTCCACCCTCCGAGCAGGATCACTACTCTCGCGACTCCACTCTGGACGGCCAGTAAAGGCAAGCCAGAGGTGGGAGACCTGTTCCTCGTCATCGTTCACTCCGGCCAGCCAATGAAGGCAAGCCGGAGATAAGGAACGGTGACTCCTCCCTGGAGCAATCGGGATGATGGTAGCCCGCGGGATCGCTAATTCCCGTCACCTCGCCTCAAGGTGCCCTGCGTTATTATTATTATTATTATTTATTTATTTAAGACTTCATGCACAAAACATTGTACATAGGCGGACTTAATGCAATGAGCATTCTCTACCAGTCTACCTTTGGGTGATGCAGAGATACTTAATCAAGTGGCAGGTGCAGAAGCAAGGAAATTCAATTGAATATACCAAACATATATATAAAAATATACATAACACACTTTACATACATACATACTATATATATACATTACAATACATATTTATAAGGCAGTAAATATATATATATATATATACAAATATATATACGTATATGCAGTCATAGTCCCGATGATTCCCCCAACCTCTTCAAAAGAAGCTCCCGAACTCTCTGCTTGAAAGACAGCCGACTAGTCAGGATCCTGATATCGGGGGGTAGCGCATTCCACAGAAGAATAGCCTGAACGAAAAATGAGGAATGGAGAAATTTTGAGTGATGAGTTGGACAGTTGAGGAGACGATTGTTAGAAGAACGAAGGTATTTATTGTGGTTTGCGCATGTGTATTGGAAGTAAGAGGACATATAGCTAGGTGGGCAAGGTGAGTTAAGAAAGGAAAATAAAGTGGTTAGCGCCCTTTGCTCCCTACGCTGGCGTATAGGCAACCACTTCAATTGCAACCGATGTGCAGAAACATGATCATATTTGCGTAGGTTGAAAACGAAACGAATGCAGTTATTCAGAAGTCGGTCGAGTTTATTGAGGAGATCTGCATTCAGGTCATAGTAACAAACATCAGCATAATCTATTATAGGGAACAACAAGGCCTGTACAAGCATCGTCTTGGTGACGGGCGGAAGCAAGTTTTTCACGCGGTAAAGGGCCCGCAGCGACCCGGTTACTTTTTTGCACACGTTAGTTACTTGTGTATGCCAGTTTAAACTTTATTATGTAATTGGTCGGCAAACGAGCAGACGGATTACCTGATGGTAAGTAATCAGCGCCGCCCATGGACACCCGTAACGGAGGAGTCACGAGTGCATTGCCGACTTTTTAGGGATTAGGGATTTGGAGATTTAGGAACTGGGGAGGGATTGGGAAGGGGAAGGATTGGGCCTCCGGTAACCTCACTCACACGGCGAAACACAACACTGTGGTTGTTTCACGCCGGTTTTCTGTGAGGCCGTGGTATCACAACGGTCGAGCCGACCCATTCGTGCCGAAGCATGGCTCTCCCACAAAAATTAGTCTACTATAGTTTGGTCTGTGAAGTATGCATGAAATACAGACATAAGTAATGAAGGTTAGATTTTGGTGTCCTAATATTATAAAGAGAGGTAAACTTTGTAAATTTGTTATGTGAGGAATAATCTGAGGAACCGCTGGTTGGATGTCCAAAATTATTTCATTGTTAGATAGCTTCAATGTTCCTGAGTGCTATAGGCTAAATTTTAGTTGATTTGCGTATTTTGGTCAAGCTATCGCTTTAAATACTGCTGTTTTTAAAATCCCGGGAAACATTAAATTAATTTATCAAACACCAAGCGAACCGGCATTCGCACACCTATTGTTTTTCTGTTGAGTCTCGTTTTTTCCCGATTGAAAGGTTAAGATCATAATAAGGTCATAGATAATAGTTTTCAGTTTTATCAATACTCCTTGGTATTATTACAATTACAAATTGTTTGTTTATATGTTATTTGTATAATATTTCAGGCAGGTATAGTAGGTCAGGATTTGGAACGAGAGATGCGCGCGCGCGGCTTCACAGTCGGTCACGAGCCGGACTCGTACGAGTTCTCCACCCTCGGGGGGTGGGTCGCTACGAGAGCCAGTGGCATGAAGAAAAACACCTATGGAAACATCGAGGACCTCATTGTGAACACCAAGGTATGTAACTTCTGTAAAGACAGAATATAGTACTATAGCAACGTTTTGATGACAGATAATGCTAGTGCACGGTTGACGAAGTGGCTGGGCAAGCGGCTGTCGTGCAATTTGACGTGGCCCAACCAACATCCCGCACAAATCAACTGTTTGTGTGATCTAAAAATTATTTTTAGTGATGTGTATGTGAAATTGTATATCTACAAACACCCACGACGTAGGAAAATCTGGGAAAAGAAGGAAAAAAGTGAAAGTGAAAAAGTGGAAAGTGTGGGTCTAAATAACGTGCAACACGAAGAAATAAGATTCATCCCGATAAGTCTTACCTTAACCAATTTATATGGTGCTAACGAATCCATAAATAAATCATGTTGTGATCAGCTCAAAGCATCTTAAGAAAATTCACAAATTGTACTTTCCAAAAAATAGGTTGATTACCTATAAATCTTATCAAAACTATGAATGTTTAAACTATCCTTAAATGTTTCAGGTGGTGACCGCTCGTGGTGTGTTCGAGAAGAATTGTCGCGTGCCCCGCATGTCGTGCGGGCCCGAGTGGGAACATGTCATCATGGGATCTGAAGGGTGCTTCGGAGTCGTTACTGAGGTATATCAGTCTTCCAATATTAAATATTAATCATAGCTAGGACTGATAACTTCAGCTAGGAAGCCTTTACGAAAAATGATAATATACACAGCTACAACACATTGCTAATAATATTTGGAAGGCGCTTTACTTTTGTATGTTTTCACTTTTCACGCTCAAAAAGGAATAATAATCCAATATTTATTTGAAAACTGCAATGTCATCCAATAGCTTTTCCAGCCCTAGGTAAACCAAGAGAGGGTGTTAATCTGTTACTGGCTAAAAACCGCCCCCATCAAGGGCCGTGGCCGCGGTACATTATTACACCCAAAATCCCGTCCTTTATTCTCATCTATTCCCCACATATAGATAGTTTTTTATGTAATAGGTCGGCAAAAGAACTGATGGATTTCCTGATGGTAAGCAATCAGCGCCGCCCATGGACACCCGCAACGGAGGAGTTACGAATACGTTGCCGACCTTTTAGAGATTAGGGTTTTGGAGATTTTGAGATTGGGGAGGGATCAGGGGAGGGGAAGGACAGGGCCTCCGGTAACCTCACTCACACGGCGAAACACAACGCTGTGGTTGTTTCCCGCCGGTTTTCTGTAAGGCCGTGGTATCAATCCGATCGAGCCGACCCATTCGTTCCGAAGCATGGCTCTCCCACACTTTACATTATTTTACACTTTATATTATCATTATTACAGGTCACAATAAAAATCCGTCCGCTGCCCCCTGTAGTGCGCTACGGGTCGCTCGTGTTCCCCGACTGGGAGAGTGGCTTCCACTTCGAGCGAGAAGTCGCGAGGCAACGCCTGCAACCGTCCAGTATCAGACTTATGGACAATGAACAGGTAAAGTTACTATTTATGTTGATATATGAAACCACTATACCTAATACCTAAACAACGAAACTGTAACTGTATCCAATAATATAGCAAAAGCTTACGTCAATTTGGCTCAATGTTATAACAAGATACCTTGCAAATTTTTTTCCGGTTTACACTCGATCCTTGAGATTCTCTTGGAAAATAAATATTTAATAAAAATTAATTATGTACAGTATATTTAATTGTACCTAATTCAGAAGAAGATGTGATGTGATGTGTATGTGACAAAGCTTTTTTTCTGTATCCGCAGTTTCGTTTTGGTCAAGCTCTCAAAACTGAGAACACATGGGGCGGCGTTCTCCTAGACGGCTTGAAACGTCTGTACATTACGAAGATCAAGGGCTTCAACCCAGCCAAGCTGTGTGTGGTGACTCTCCTCATGGAAGGGTCAGCTGAGGAGGTCTCGGAGAGGGAGAGCAAGCTTAACAGTATCGCCGCCCAGTTCGGTGGCATACCCGCCGGTGCCACTAATGGGGAAAATGGATATACACTCACATTCGTCATCGCTTATCTCAGGGTAAAAATTGTTATTTTATTTCCACAACAGAAGGTATAGGCAAAATGCGCTAATATATAATGTGTTATTAAATTCTTGCAACTGAACGATTTGAATAGTGGCTGATATGCAACATCTTGGGATTTGGATTGCCGCTCTGAAAAAATCTATTTGTGATCCACAAATTGGTAAACACTATCTATCTACACAGGCGAAAATCTTAGTGTTTAGTGAAACTAAATAAGGACTTCGTTTTACCTTTATTACATAGTAATTTTAGAAGCCCAGTTTGAAAAACCAACCGCTTTAAACATCTATTACCTACAGTTGATACACAAATTTAGTTCAAACCAACGTTAAATTAAAAAAAAAACCTATAAGTAGTACTTGCAAAACAATTTAGGCCTGGCCGGGCGGGAGGGAGTGTCAGACTCTTACTGACTAAAAACCCCCCTGTTCCTTCTCCTGCTCTGGGCAGAGGTCGCGGTGCCTCATTGCGCTTACCAAACAATTTGAGATTTTCCTTAAGAATCCCAATTACGACCGCTCGATCACATGCCTAGTAAATACCTAAACACACGGCGGAAACAAAGGAGCGCCACCTACTTCATTCAAGACGATTAAGATTTAAGAATTTGGCATTTAGCTTCTCGCTCTCTATCGCTTCTTATAATCTTTCATTTGTTGTGGCAACAGGACGTGGCTATAGAATACGACGTGGTATCAGAGTCGTTCGAGACATCAGTACCTTGGGACCGCACCCTCGCGCTCTGTGCCAACGTGAAGCAGCGCATACGGAACGAGTGCGCCAAGAGAGGCATCGACAAATACCTCATCTCACATCGACTAACGCAAACGTAAGTCACCATTACATTAATTCAAATTCATATTTAGGGAAATTAATATTTGAGTTGAATTAAACCTTGCTAGGTTAGCTTTACTGTACGTATTTACCGAAGTGCCAAACTGCGTCAAGCGCTGATTTGGCCAATGAAAATAAATAAATACATAGAAATGTGTGTAAGTGCCTACATATTTATGGTTTTACCATTATTCACATAAGTACACATATTGCATTGATTATGTATATTATATATACAGACTAGGTACTAATAACTGGAATAAAGTGACGATACTAAGCGCATCAAGGAAATTAATAATATGTGAATTGTGAAAAAAAATACCCAGGTAAATTACAATTATATTTAATTATACTTTTCAGGTATGACGCGGGTTGTTGTATTTATTTCTACTTTGGTCACTATATTGGCAACTGTGCTGACCCAGTGTCGACATACGAAGAAATCGAAGAGGCCGCACGAGACGAGATCATTGCCTGTGGTGGTGAGTTTTTTTTAACTCGTGCCGCTAGGTTGGCACTACTGGTCCTTTTAGAAAAGTCAATTTAGCGACTATTTTTCGTAACTTTTTTTTTCGTTTATCATAATACCTACAATGTCGTATTATAATTTTTATTACCTGAATCCTATGAACTAGCAGCTCACTGTTTAATATTATTTGGCAGGATCAATATCACACCACCATGGGGTTGGGAAATTGCGTAAGAAATGGTACGCGGACACAGTCAGCGAGCCCGGACGGCAACTTTTGCTTGCTGCTAAGAAAGCTTTGGATCCAGACAACATTTTCGCATTAGGGAATATGGCGTTTGAAGAACACAGCAATAACTCGGACGTATCAGTTAAAAGTAAATTATAATTTTTAAGATTATATTTAAGTGCGAGCAAGTTTTAGGTCCATTTCAATTTTGATTTCATTACATAGATAAGGTAGTAGGTACTTTTGTTAGATTTTGTACATTGTTTTATACAGATCAGTGAATAAAATACGACTTTAATAACTGGCATCGAAATTTCTATTTAATTGATGGCAATAAATAAGTTTGTTGAAGAAGGGATGACGTCATAGGTAAATCTCGCTAGCCACGAGATGTGTGTGATACTTATTCGTTCGTGTATTAAAATTTACAAAACAACTTTCCAGTAAAGTTAATAGCTTACTTAGTGGTAGGTAATTTACTTATTGACAATAGTCAACTCGTTCAATTATTGGCATAAGGGTAACCTACTTCGATCATGATTGGCAAACCTCGCTTTCTAATATTTGACAAATTAGGTACCTAATAATAAGTAAGTAGTTGAATACTTTTTTCTAAAAGTTTGCCTTCTTTGCATTTAATTTACCCATTTCGCGACGAAAATCTATCATGACAATCCTTATTTTTTTTGCATAAGTACTTACGATATCCGCTGAACTGCTATGCACTTCTTCATGATTTGCGAAATAAATGTTGGCGCGTTTTATCGCATCGGTCGCATTATAGGTATACTTATAGGTCACTCAAGCGAAACAATCCGTAAACAGAATATTACATGAAGTCTAATTTACTCAATGAAAAAATATAGTGCTTTCCACGTTATTTTTAATTGTTGTACTTTTTTTTTATTAAGTAAATAAGCCAAAGAATTTTACAATATTGATATTGCCACATTGTGTTTACCACCCAATCCGAACGATACTGTGCCATACATAGTTATGATTTTAGTTAGTTTGATGTTATCGTTTCGTAGCCCTTTTATTGTTTACAACATGTTAAGAAGTTACCAAGACCAAAATACCTATGGACTAATATGATTTTTAAAACCAACATAAATAGATTCCTTAGTCCTTAGTTAACATTTGCATTTTGAAACCTGGATTGTTATTTTAGTTTAGCAATAAATTGCTCAATATAATTATTACGTACACCTACTTATATAAATGCAAATGTTTTTTTTTTATTTATTCAGTAAATTACATTCCTTCTATATTCAATTTATTTAATGTGATTCATAAGTTTATGAAGGTATGGTGTTTGTGATTATTAGGAATTATATGTTTGTCTTGTAAATAAGTGAGGGTGGATTGCAATACCAATAAAATGTATGTTACCAAGATCCATGTGTTTCATTAATTATATTAACTTACTTATTAAAAAGTTTTATACTCGTACTTTACTACTACTGCGTACCTACCTACTTCACTCGTACGCATAGGTACCATTCTAAATAACTAGTTGAAAATTTAATTAGCTATTCAGATTCAAAACAAAACTTTCTATAGAACTTTTAACGTGTAAGTATATTATGTAGGTATAGAAATAGAGGAAATATAACAATGTAAAAATAAACTATTGGTTATTTCCGACAAGTCAAACTCAATACTTTTTTCGAAATATCAAGGTGCGTCATTTTCTATGAATTTTGAATTAATAGTAGGTACCTAAGTGTGATGACAAAAACATTTAGCGTCAAATAGCCTACTTTTTTATTAAATCAACTTGTAGAAATACGAATACTAATTACCTATATCGTAAAATCAATGAATGAAAACGTGATTTTTTGGTACCTATAGTTAGAAAGTTTTAAATTATATCTATTTGACTAAGGAAACCTCCCAAACAAACAATAACAATTTTTACTAGACAATAACAATATTTAATAAAATAAAACCTACTTCCTGTTACCTGTGTTTAAATATATTTTCCTTTTTGTTTCATAATTTCATTTCATTTGAGATTTTTGACAGAACGGACGCGTTTTGCTTGTCACAAAAGTAATAGTTGGCGGGTATTTGATTTTTCTTTTCTGCTAATATTAAAAGAAGCAGAATTCTTCACAATACTTAGTTACAATAAGTTTGTAATAACTAAATAAACATGATTGATCTGTTTATGCCATTTAGGGCATTTTTGAAATTTGAAAATGTGTGTACGGATAACAATGTTTTTCGTATGCACTATAAAGTGACTGTGATAATGTTGCTTGTGTTCACGTTATTGGTGACTTCGAAGCAGTTTTTTGGAGAGCCGATCCACTGTATGAGCGACAGCGAGAAGGACAGTGATAAGGACGCCATCAACAGCTACTGCTGGATCTACGGCACCTACACCCTAAAAAGTCGATTTGTCGGTTGGTATTATTTACAGTTAAATCAGTTTTTATTGTACATTATACTCAATAACGATACTATACTCATACCTTAATCTCTAGTCTCGTTACTACTTAATCTATAGTCCGATTTTACAATGACAAAAACTTTCAAACAGGTACGTCGGTGGATATCCTTAGTTTTAAAGGTTTATAAACTCGCGACGGATAGTTTTGCTTTTTAATACAATGCGATTTAAATAAGTTAACCAACGTTAATTAAAACTATATGTTACCACAAATCAGTCAAATTCTCAAATATGTTTTTGTATCAAAAATTATAAGGTGTGGAAGGCAAACACATGGCCTACCCAGGCGTTGGCCCCAATAAGTCTGAGGATGATGAGCAAATTAAGCACACATACTACCAGTGGGTGTGCTTTGTGCTACTCGGCCAGTCTGTCATGTTCTACACACCAAGGTACCTGTGGAAAATCTGGGAAGGAGGGAGGCTCAAGGCTTTAGCTTCTGATCTAAGTAAGTACTATTTTATTAATACTACAGTACCTATTGCCATAGACAACACATATTTATGAAAACTAGGCGTAATATATTTAAGTATGACCCTGTTTTAAGGAGTCAAAGTCGTAACTCTGAGTATCAATCAATAGCCATTATAAAATACCCTATAACTAATTTATTATTTAATAACTAAGGGAAAATGTTAATACCTTTGTTAATCATTGTATTGTTAGCAAATAAGTTATATATTAACTTAACTTTCTGATCATTTGTAGAATTCCCATTTTTCCATTGTTTTGAGAAGTAATGTATGTTTTTAAGATTTGCTTTTATCACTCATACAATCAAACTGATAATTCTATAGGTAGCCCTTTGGTAACCAAGGACTGGTCAGAGTTCCGGCGTGGGGAGCTGGTCTCCTACCTGAGCTACACGAATATACACACACACAACATGTATGCCCTGCGATATGCCTTCTGTGAGATACTAAACCTTGTCAATGTGGTGAGTTAAAAAAACATGCTATTAAATGAAATAATAAGCATTTATTTTTAAGACTTGAAATTAAGTCTTGACAAAGATTTATTGAGCAACATTTATGAATAAGTATTTATCCTGCCCCAGGCACAGTGATGAACCTTGAATGAGTTAGATTGATCATAATATATTTGGTCAGTCTAGTTCCTCAGATCTACAGTTGAATGAAGGCCTAGTAAATTCTTATCTATACCTTATTATAATTAGAAACTAATTTACTCTTGTTATTTTTTGTCTTTCTAGTAATACACATGTATAGATTTTACATATTTATGATTAATAGTTTTAGCTATAGAAAAATATAATGGACTTTCTTTTTAAAAAAAAAACTGTTATAATTTGCAGGTTGGCCAAATATTCCTGCTGGACATATTCCTGGGTGGTGCATTTCGTAACTACGGCGCAGCTGTGGCGGCGTTCACACACACCCCTCGTGTCCCTGCCAACATGATCGACTTTGCGTCTGTTAACCCCATGGATCAGTTCTTCCCCAAACTCACCAAATGTTGGCTCCGTAGTTATGGTCCTTCAGGCTCCTTGCAGATCAAAGATCGTCTCTGTGTTCTTCCACTAAACATAGTGAATGAGAAGATCTTTGTAATCCTCTGGTTCTGGCTTATAATTTTGGCTTTTGTTTCTACTTTATCTGTTCTGTTTCGTGTCCTTGTGCTTTCTCTTCGCCCTCTCCGCTCACTAATGATTGCAGGTCAGCTAAGATATGTGAAGAAGAGTACGATATCGCGTATTGTGAAGCGATTTGGTTATGGTGACTGGTTCATACTGTACTTGCTGGGCAAAAATATGAACCCTATAATTTACAAGGATTTGATTGTAGAACTTTCCAAAGAATTGGAACATAAGACTGTTATGGTCTAAGCTCAATTATTATAAAGTGAAAACTTGTGAACTGAATCTAAAATTCACCTTTTAATAACATCTTAGATTTACTAGGTTTAGGAAAAAACTCCCAAATTTCTTCACCTGCTTATAAGGTTAATTGACTGGATAAGTGGTTCACTTGATATTCACTTCCAAAACTGTTCACAGTATTGTATAAGTATACAACTAAGAAAAAGTGCCTTTATTAATAATTATTATTAATGGCTAATAAACAATTGTTTAATATCTTGTTAATTTGTGATTAATGAAAACATTATCTTTCTTATGGAAAGAAGTTGATCTATGTAATTGCATATTTTTTATTTTGCTTCAGTAATTTATGAGAAAAGAAAAAAAAGTTTAATTATTTTTGTTGCATAATTTTTGTTTGTTCATGACACTAGACGAAATTGTTAAGTTTTGTATTGATTATAAACTTACATTATTATTACAATTACAGAGTAGTTTTCTTTAGGATTCAATTATAGAAATACTCTTTAAAATTATTATTATTCTTCTAGTAGAAATGCCAATAATTACAGAATACAATTTATGTATCTCTTCCTTTGTAAGATGATAATTATTATTAAAATGTGTTATTATACATGGTGGTTTTATTTGTTTGGTTGTAAATATCCTAAACATTTTTGCTATAGTAATGTGAATATTATTGAGCACAATAAATAAATAACAGCAATTTATCACTTGGTTAGCAATACATTTATTGAAGAAAACAAGTTTTGGGACTGAATAGGTAATATTAGTATCAGTCTAGATATATTGCTCCAATTTCAAATGTGAAAAGTTTATAAAAAATGGTTTCTTGACACCGAAGAAAAAGCATTACTAAAATTAAGTTTACTGACTACAATCTCACTTATCCTGAGCATCCTCTGCATCCACAGTGAACACACTCAACTATTCTGCCTTCTTCTAACTTGCTTTTAGGGACCCTACATATGCAGTTAGTGGCAAAGTTAGTGTCTCTGGTCTGAATACACCGCAAACAACATAAGTTTTCATAACCAGTCTTCTTCCACTTTGCTATGAGATTGGCATCCGCTATTTTCTCATCCAAACAGTACTGGTACAGCTCTCTGCTGATAGCTTTGCGTCTATAGAACAAGTCATAGATGTAACGCGACTTTTGATGGTGAATTTTAAAAATTGGCCACAGTGACTCCTGCTTGCGTTTGCCTTCATGTGGTTCAGTTTCGGCTGCAAAGCAATATTGTTTTTTAAAAGTTAGTGTTGATTTGAAATAAAATATACTGTAAGAAACAAATTAAAAGTAAATTGTAAAAAAACAAAAATACTGTTAGGTTACCTTCTCGCATCTTCTGTTCCAACTCCTCCAATGTCGGTTCAATGAGTTCCCATCCCTCTGGAGGGGGTTTGCGGCTGCGACGTACTTTCGGCATAATAATTTAACTACGTGAAATACTAGATTAATCCAAATAAACAAAGACAGGAACCGACAGAACAACTCACAACATTCATCAATTAATGACACTGACACTTGACGGTTAGTTAAGTGACTTTTTAATTTTGTCTATGACATGATAAGAATCGACTACATTTTCATTTCAGACGAAATTGCAAATCTATATTTTCATGTCAATTACAAAATATTCAATTAATTGAAAATGTTATATTTTTTTGCGAAATGTTCATGTAAATAGGTGCAAACCACATATTTGTTTCGATTGATTGATGATTTTTTGTACCTTATCAAGGCGTATAATAACAACATAAATATAAATGATTGCTCAGCATATTTTAATAGGCGGTTATCAAAAAAAAACCTGAGGAAACTAAATGATTAACTTTGATGAATTAAGTACCTGTCTTCCCTTTCACTAAATATCTGCCATTAGTGTAATGCTTAAGAAATTAATTACTTATTTTGAATTTAATGTTCCTATTATGCACAAAAATGTAAGACATTGAATAATTTTCAATGCTAATCGTACACGAAATTGACAATAAAACTTGGTATGATAATTATGAACATCAATTATTTTTTTACTATCAACAGTTACATAAGTACTGCAATATTTCATTTTACGATCTCGTGTGATAAATATACGTTTTGTGTGCTTTCACTTTTATGAACAAACATTCACAATTTCTAAATCTTAGTTATGTAGATAGCTGGCTAAGTTTAATAATTTTACGCCTCAAGATTGAAAAAACGTGCTAAAAAAAGATTATGCTCCAATTGCGCTGTTTCGCGATAATTGTGGGTAGACAGTTATCCTGGTTACACAAGTTGGTCAATGAGTAATGATTTATTTAATGATTTTTATGTAAATCTTGCTGTCAACTCTTTTAATTCAACAAAATAACAATATCTAAGTATTTTTCACTTAAAGTTTCATCGCAATTACAATTTTAATAATACCGCGCTTACCTGTGTATGAATAACGGGGCTACCTACCTATACAAGTTGGATGTAAGTATTGCTTTTTTCTGGTCTCTATCTCGCAGAGTGTTAGGAGGACGGTGTGAGCGAGAAAGATATAACCTCGATTAGCACTCGTGGAATGCGGTGTTGCGTTCGCGCAAGCAAGCCAGCTCCGGTCCAGTCATTTCATTCGTCGCCGACAACGTTGTGGTGGCCGCGGGTATAACTTAAAAACTTAACCGTGTAATCAAAATATGTGTGAAAATTGCCGTTATACGAGTGTTTGTCTGTTATCTATAAGTGAATAATATTGTGACAGTTGTGTACAACATTTGTGTTATGAAGTTTTGTGAAAGTTGACGGAGGTTTTCAAGGAACTCGGGTGTCTCGTCGCTTATTTACCTGTAAGTCAACTTCTAAAGGTATACGTGTCTGGGTGACGTTGATTTCGCTATAGCCTTCTAAACCTGCGTATATTTTTTTTTTTTTTTGTTTATACGATTGTTACCCCTGCACCGGTAATTTTGAACAATTCAGTCTGAACAAAATCATTTAAGAATTCCAATTGCAAATAGTCTAAGTCAGCGAAGGCTGTGCGTCTTCCTTAGTTGTGAACGAGTTGTCTAAGCGAATTTATTGAAGTCGGCAAAAACGAAACTGGCGTAACCATCACGTCCTATAATCAGCGGACACGTCTCGATTTCTCGGACATCCTAAAAATTCATCGGAAATAATTGTTAATTCATCAAGTATCCTGCTCGTATTTAATTTATTAAAGCTTAAAGATTCAATATTTCCTGGAAATTCTTAAAAAGTCGATGAGCCCACTTAAAAGATTTAAGCTTGTCAATGAGTGTAGGTACACAACTTTTACTCAAAAGGGACCTCTGACCCGCGGGCGCGGTCGTTGGCCTTGAAACCGACATTTTATTTTTAATTCAACAAGGATCCGATTTTATTTTGGGTGAACAAAATTCCTCGATGACGTCACTGTTAGGTTTCGTACCTTTAAACTAGTCGATACATAAATCAATTACGGGCCCGCATTCACTTACAATTTCGCAACATTTGAATAATTCTGAATTACCACCAGCCAGTAAGCATACTTATTCGCTAATTGCTTGACTTCGAATATTGCTCAGCAGACCGGTCTAGTAATACCTAGGAAGGAGACAGGGTACTAGACATTTTGCAGTAAACCTTTTGACCCGAAGCTTCGATATAAATCATGTTTATGGAGGTGAATCTAACTGTGCATGAGATTTTGTCATTCGCAACAGCCTCTTATATACCTATATACAATACATGAGTACCTATCTAGCTTCCTTACTTCATTCCTAAATTAATAAGCAAAAGATAATAATCATTCTCACTCTTCGTTATTTACCACTTTTTTAACAAATCTGTATCAAACATAACCAACTGCTAATTTCATATGATTTAAAAGCAATAATTAGTGCAATATCAGGTGTTTATGCATAGAAACAAAGTCGGGGTCGACAACATTTCCTCGCGTAAAGTTTCGGGGATTGACATTGTGATAAGAGTGTTTGTAGCTTTTGATTTTACTGCAATACTACGGGAGTAGTGTATCAGGTACCAATATGTTATCATTTGTCAGTATTGTTGAGGTAGCTTAATCCCTATTTTATGATAAAGAACAGGATCCATAATCATGTCACTTGGGACTACCGTAACCAATAAGGTTGGACTCCACGCTCAGACATTTATAATATGGTACTAATCTTCATTAAATAAGTTACAGCTTTAAAATGTATAACTAATCGTTTTATTGGACAGTTTAGTTATACGTAATAACTCTAGTATTTATGGACTATAAAGTATAGGATGAAACTTTAATCGACTAAAAGGGAATCGAATTTGTAACCGTAATATTTTAAATAGAGTTGTATTGATCATTTAATTTTTTTTTTCATAACTTCGGTATTATCTTTTAAAGTTTTTGTGCATATGATCCATGGTCGTCCAACAAAAATTTTCCAAAACAGCGGTTTATGTCGGTATCCTATTGCGACGATTTAATCTCACCTAACTTAACTATTCTGAAAATCCGTGTTAAGTTCTTGTTCTTATCCCATTTCTCTCTTATCTCTCCCTTGCTCTTTGTCTTTTGATAAAAATAAGTTAATCAAACATTGCATGGTGGGTAAACAGTTGATCCTCTATAGGTGGTACTTACAATTTTTTTTCAAATGACTTACTCGTAACAATGGATCTTGACGTCTACTGAAAAACATATTGAGATTAATTCAGTGCAATTTTTAATGACACCCATATCTTTATCGGTGCAATTATATACCTATATGCTTATAAAAAAAACATCCCTGCCCTTGAATCTGTGGAGGACTATGGTTGTAAGCGATCTATCTACGTAGTAGCTAGTTTTTTAACTTAAAAACTGTCAGATACCTGCTGTAATGAAGAAAATCTGTTCTACAACTACCACAATAACTAAAAATCCCTTTCACCAGTTTATATTTTTAAGGGGGTATCGTTAAGTGATTTGTCTGGGTCGGGCGCGAGAGTGTCAGGCTCTTACTGACTAAAAATCACCCCGATCCTTTTCCTGCTCCAGGCTGAGGCCGCAGTACATTATTACGTTTGATCCGCAATTCCGGCTGAACATCAGCTCTATTGAGCTTTCTAAGGCCCCCTCTGTTTACAGAAGCGAAATGCTAGTAAATATCTAAAAGATCAACTACAATCTGTGTTCTCAGTTTTTCCGCAATACTTCATAGATAAAATATAGTTGTACAGTGAATCAGCGAAGTGCATTGCTATTTGCTATAGACGAGATGACGTAAGGTCACGTTTTTCAATCCATTCACGTTTGTCTTGAGCTCAGTCGTGCGGTGCCAGATTGCTGTATAAACCACCGGGTGAAACCTTCGGTGTTGACCAGCTTAAAGTTCATGGTTTGCTAACGAAGATAACAGACATTTTTGGACATCTTGAAGGAGGTTTCGTTGATTTCTGTTAAACTACCATAATAACCTCCGTGTTATCTATACTAATATTATAAAGAGGTAAAATTTGTAAGTTTGTATGTATAGGGTAATCTTTGGAACCGCTGGTCGGATTTCCAAAATTCTTTCACCGATATATATCTACAATATTCCTGAGTGCTATAGGCTATAAAACATCACGCTACGATTAAATGGAGCCGAGCAGCGGATGAAATCGCGCGAGAGTAGCTAGTAATTTATATTTCGACCTTATCGAAATCTCTCTTTACGCAAAAAGAACGAGTGTGCATTCTTAATTAATTCGACAGAAGGAATCATTGAAGGAATCATTAAACTAGACGGGTCCACTTCCACTTGAATCACAAAACTTTTTATTGTAGTCTCGCTCAGTTATTGGGTGAAAATGAGGGGATTATTAAAGTAGAAAGACCGAGAGATAAACGACATAACTCTAATATAGTCTTTTTCATAAGTCTTTTTCAATGTCTATAATCCGTCACTACAATCTAGTCTCCATGAGGAATCTTGCGTGATCACGGACCTGAAAGGGGCATCTTTTCTGTACATATCTGAGCTGTCTATTACATGTACATCATTCCACATTGCAAAATTGTTTTATGTGCCATTATACAGCTGGTATTGTAGGTGTTGACCCACAAAACGAATTTAGCACAATACGTATTAAGTCAATCAGGGGCGGACAGGTAATTTGTGGGCCCTGGTCCGGTTGAGGGTTTTCGCTTAATATATTATAAAAAATCCGTCTCAACCTTACTACACAATTTAAAAAGCTTTACATTGCTTTTCTATTGTGTGTTTTGCGGTGGGCTTTATATTGTACCCGGGGCCCTGCAGAGCGGCCCAAAACGCCTGTAGGTAGATTCGCCCCTGTTAACAATGTCTATTCAATGCTAAACTAAACAACATATCGCAAGTACCTGCCTCTACGCCGCCGTCTCGTGATTTGAAGGTTTCGATTTAATCACAGGCCTACGTACGACTGGTAATGAATAATTACATACAACGTACGCCTATGATGAGCTGTGAAAGGTCTCCGAGACAAAGATGCTTGACACATAATTCTCCATGAAAACAATGATGATTCATTAAAGTATGTAATTTGTAAGGGA